CACGGCGCCTTGGGACAGGCAGGCTCCACCCCGCAGCACGGCGGACCGGCCCGCTCAGCGGCCAGTCCATGCTGCAGACCCAGGCCGCACACGCGCTTTCCCGTGGAGCTGGGCCTGTTCTTCACGTCTGTCGCCCAGAAGGCGGGCCAGAGCTCAGTGGGTTAGGGGGCCGGCTCTCCCCGGGGGCCGGCTACCAGTCCAGCGCAGCTCCCGGGAACAGGGTCCGTCCCCACAGGACAGTCACGGGGATATGTCCGGGCGGCTCGGCCGAGGCCCCAGCGCACACGGTTCTCGGCTGGCCCTAGCCTGGGAGCCCGTGACGACGCACTGGGACTCTGGGCGGGAGCAAACTGGCGGCGGCCCCACCACAGAAGTCTGCGGAAGAAAGTGAGAGCAGGAGCTGGCTCCGGGCCAAGATGGGGTAGCAAGGTCTTGCTACGACAATGAAGAAAGCTGACTGAATGACGAGGGGACCCCGCAGCTCAAGGCACTGGACATCGAACACTGGTTCCTGGACAGTGGTCGTGGAGGAGCCGGAGCCTCCCAGCTGCCCCGGGAGGCCACCGTGCTGGGCGGGGAACCCAGGCTGGGCCCAGTGGCTGCCCGGGTGTCAGGGAAGCTCGTGGGGCACACAGGGCCACGTCTGAGGACGGCTGCCCGCAGGCTTGGGGCGGCAGCCAGCAGTAGCCCGGCGGGCCCGGTCTGGAAAGTTAACCAGGGGCAAGAAGCCCAAGGCACACGAAGGTGACAGCGGTCCCTGGAGGAGGCCCGGGGCAGCTGACCGTGCGTGGAAGGGGCAGAGCCACGGGGCACGGGGCAGGTGGCTGAGTGCCTGGAGAAGCGCAAGCAGCCCCCTCTCCCTCGTGTGACGGGCTCAAAGATCTTACAGAGTTAAGAGACACAAGTAAGAAAATAAAAGTGTTTATGTTTACGTAACCTGTCACAAGGAAAAGCATCTAAAGCATGCGTGATCGTGGGACAAACCTTTTTAAAAGGCAACGAAAGAAATGGCCGCATAAACGAACCCTTCGTGTTTTAGAGTTTTCACAAATCACTAAGGAAAACGGGAGCTTCGAGTGGGAGAAAAAGCAAAGGGCAGTAAGCAAACTCACAAAGATGGCCATGAACTGAATAGAGTGGCACGTACACCAAGGGACACGTGCACTGTGACTGCGGTTACGAGTCCGTGCCCTGCCGGAATGGAAGGGGGTCACGGTGCGTTAAGGAGCAGCAGCCTCGGGCAGGGCTCGCCGCCACGCACTGCGCTGGGCCAGCGGCTTCACGCCCACGCTCTCCCAGTTCGTACGGGAACCCCGAGAGGCGCATTCCCGTGCCTCAACTCTCCAGGGGAAGGGAAAGGCTTACAGACACCGAGTGCGGGTCACAGAGGTCGCCGCGCTGCACTGGGGCCTCCTGCCCCTCCCTGGTACTGGGAGCTTCACTATCGCCGTGCAGAGGACGAGCCGGTGCTTTGAACACACGCACCTGCTCTCGGAGACAGGAATAGCCGGGAGGCTGCGCGTCAAACTGCTCGCAGCAGGAGCTCTGGGGGCCGGACGCGGGGTCCTCCCTCCTCGGCACCACTCCGACTTCATCCAGAAGAATGATTAAAGATGCCAGGGCTCAAGAGAGTAAAGCGGATGCAGGGGCCATGGTTTTAAGCCCTAAGTTTGCAAGAAAGAAAAGAAATGGAGTCAGACACTGGCAGCTCACCGGCTCGGCCGGGGCGGGGCAGGGCGGGGCGCAGCGACCCCGACTTCCTCCCACTACCAGCACGACAGAGATGTCAGCACTGCCCACTGGACAGCGTTTCACAAACCGAGTAACCACATAAACTGAACAACCAAGTCAAGACCACACTAATCAAAACGAAGCGGGAAACGCTAGGATTTAAAGCCCCGTGCGCTCTGTGAGGTTTACGTGAGTAAAAGCACGGATGAGCACGCGCCGGACGCTGAGCCCCAGCAGAGGAGTCGCCGAGCTCTACTGTGACCAGCAGACACTGCCCCGAATGTGGAGAAATCCGGCTGAAGCCACCTGGTCTGCACATATCACAGGGCTGTCATTTTCTGGAGAAATCAGTAACTTCCAAAAACGTGTGATCAGCCAGTACCGCTTTCATCTTAAATCAGTCTGTCATTTAAATGAGGTGAACCTCTGCCTACCCCTCGGACAGCCTGTCTTCTAAATCAATTCTTACACGATCCGTCGTTCCATGCGTGAAGTTAAACATCGTGCTAACCAAAGCCAGTATTTTCTATTAGCAAATCGAGGGAGAAAAAAGCAATGCTGAACTTTCGGATGTGGACTATTTAAAACAGCCCCTGACGCAGCGAGGGAGGCAGTGGACGTGAGGTCACGCCCATCAGAGAGAAAACGTCCCAAAGGCAGAAGCGGCCGCACTTTTTGGGACAGGCAGCGGGCAGCGCAGACCCCCGCCGCAGGCCGTGGGCTCCAGCTGTGACCCTGAGTGCCACAGACTGGCCCTCAGGCCCTCAGGCCGGCCGCAGAAAGCTCCGTTCCTGATCGCCGTTCACTGAAGTGGAACTCACAGGGCGCGCGTGCGCGTTCGCGACTGGCTTCCGCCACGAGGTCTGCGGGCGTCTGTGTCGGGACCCGGGAGCGGAAGGACACGGCGTTCAGAACGAGATCGCGCGGCGTGAGAGCAACACGCTGACAGCAGGAAGCAAAGCAGCAGATCTGCGTTCCCGGTTAAGTGACAGTTTTGTACAGGTCACACCCCAAAGGGCCCGTAACTGAGCCGTGGGGACAGGCTGCAGTGATGGGGTGCTGTCAATTCCAAGCCGCTCCGCCTGGCAGCCATGGCGAAGGTGGACACTTTCTTGTTGAAGACAAGGCTAAACTGGCACCTGAACCAACTGCCTCTCGGGCCCCGATGCCTAACGCTGCGGCCTCGCTGTCCCGTCTGTCCTGTGGCGAGTCGCCTGGCTGCAGAGTCCTTGGCGGAGCCCTCCCTTGTCCTCTCCTGCCTACGAGCTGGGCGCCCGGACCATCACCTGCGTCCGGGCCTGCTTCTCCAGCACACGTGCTACGCCTCGGGATGGGGGGGCCAAGGGGTGACAGGAGGGACCGCGGGAGCTGACCTGGCGTGGGCCGACTCGCGTGTTTGTGGGCCTGCCCCTCTGCTGGCAGGCGTTTTGATGTGCATGTCAGACTTTAATAAAAGGTTTCTAAAGAGACACAGACCCATCTCTGATGAGGGCAGGGACATCTGCACTGAATGGGGACAGTGGGGAGGGGAAGGACGCAGTCGTGGATGACAGTGTCTGAACGTGACCAAAAAGGAAAACAGGCTCAACACCAGTGACGTCCAGTAGGAAAGAAAAGAACTTTAAAATCGCAATGAAAAATCAGCGGCAGTATTCTTGTAATTTGCGTAGTGAAACACCCCAGGGCGTGCCCAGAAGGCCCAGGGGCGACGTCTCTCCCTCTCACCCGGCTAAGTTTAGACAGTTTGCGGGTCCATTCTGAACCCTGGGGAGGTCACTGAGAGCTCACACACAGGCCTGGCTTCGCAGAGGATGTGGGCGTGGGGTCACCAGGCCCGGGACCCCCGCCCCCCGCTCTGGTACATAAACGCGGTCCATGGCGGAGCCCCTCCCCTGCTCACGCGCGCCACTGGGCCACAGCTACGCTCGTTCCACTGAGGCCGAACAGATAAAGGCGGCCTTGAGTGGGGCCAGGACTGGGGGTGGTGAGACCCAGCGTTCCCAGCCGGGCACGTGGGCGCCGCGTGCAGCGAGCTGCCTGGTTGGGAGGAGCGGGCGTTGCGTGAGGGCGGGGCAGGTGGCGGGGAGGCCCGGCAGGCCCCGCTGCTCCAGCACGCCTGAATTTAAAGTGACGGTGGACACGCTGCTAGCTGTCAAAGTCCTCCACTGTCACTAAGTGACCCACCCAGAAACCACCGCGGGTTCACAGATGCAAAGGCGGCAGCACGGGGCGGCGGAAGTCGCGGTTCCCATCAGAGCAGCCTGGTGCACGCGAGGGCTCTGGGCCTGGACCGCACACCCCGACAGCCGCCTCCATTTCGACCCCTGGGCACTGGGCGACGCGGTGGGCGTAAGAGGTCTGAGGGCCACCCGATGACACCCCTGTTTCCTAACTGCTGGTGGCACTGCCTCCACTGCTGGCTGTGACTCCGTCCTGTGTGGCTGGCGCCCTGCGTGCACCCTGCACGGGAGAGCAGGCAGGCAGTCTGTGCCCCATGTCGCCGGGCGGGGTGTGGGTGGGGAGCACCCTGCACCCCGAGCTGTCCCTGCAGCCCCCGGTCACCAGGCGGCGTGCACTCACCGCCTCGGTCCGCGCTTGAGCAACACCGAGCAGGTTTTCAGACATGTGAGGCTGCCTGGCGCCTGGCCCTCTGACCTTCCCGCGGCTGTGTGGCCTCCCCGACCACATTTCCCCTGATCTGAGACACTGGCAACGTGTGCCACCAGGCCATCACAAGACACCAGGATTTTAAGTTTACTCAGCTTCGCAGATGTTAAATATGGTGCTCTGGAGGGCAGGGGTCGTGAGACTGGGGTGCAGCCTGGCCCCACACAGTCCGCCCAGCAGGCCCAGGCCCCCCGGAGTCAGCCGCAGGATGCACGCCACACTCCCCTGTGACAGCGGCCAGCCAGCACATGCGTGTGCAATAGCACCCCACAGTGGTCGCAACGAACAAGCCCGCCCGGCTCACCCGACAGCCGACAGCCACGTGAGAGGCGAGGGACTGGAATGCCACAGTAGGAAACCTCTCGTGCCAATTTGTAACACGCACAAAACAATTCCAGACGCAGTGCTCGTGCGTTTTATGATGCAGCGTTGCGTCACCCGCCAGGCCGTGTTCTGGGATGCCTTCCCATCCCACGCCGACAGTGCAGCCTGCGGGCTGAGGATGAGGGGCAGTGCATGCGTGCCGGACACACAGGTCCCTCCTGGGGGCTGCACCGTGAACCACGGGGCTGGGCCCAGCTCCGCCTGGCTGGGGCTTCCGACAGCCCCTCTGATTATGGGACAGAACGAATAAACGCAAATGCCCACCGCCCCACCTCCCTCATTAGGTCCTCATGGCAACCTGTGACAACATGCGACAACCAGGGGGTGGGGCAAGGACTCTCCTCCCTCGCTAAAGATGAGGGCACTGGGGACTTTGCAGGGGCTTGGTGGCTGGACGTCAGTGAGCTGAAACACACGTCTTCTCGATCGTACCAGAGAAAATTTCCGAAGAAGATGGTAGGGTTAACACGCCATCACTGCACCTAAACGCAGGGAGAGGCTGGGGCCGGAACGGCACGTCCCTCCTCATCGCGACGAGAAGAGGAGGGTGGACGATGTCACTGAGTTGAAGGTTGTAAATTACTGACCTCTCGTTCCACTGAAAAATAACAACGCCGCCGCCCTTGTCCCCTGTTGCAAGGAGATCTCCGAAGTGATTCAGTTCAACAGTCGAGATGACGTAGCTGTCAATAAAATACAGGAGCAGTTTATGACGTTATGATTTTGAGGGGGGGACAATGAGTACCAAAAATCAATAAAAAGGATCAAGGGAAAGATCAACACATCTAAAACTTTCTCCCTGGATAAGGCCAGATTTTTGCAGGTAACTAGTAATCACCAAGCGGCCTCTTCTTGGTTCTGGAGCCCAGGGCCCACGTGGACCCCTGGGTTTATTAAGTGACTCAATCCTGCCCCTGGAGCACCGGGGTTCATCTAGACTCGGCTGTCTTAACATAGGATGAAGGGTAGAAATTCAGGAAATTGTTACTAAGAAAACAATTGGTCCTAGAAGACTGGTACCTAACTTTATAATGCATGCCTCATATTAATTTTTAAAACAAATCTTTTATTCTTATAAAATATTAACGGAAACATTTTAATATTCTACACAGTAACTTTTGTTGGCTTCTGTACAAAATAACATTACAGACGGTACAATTCTATTCCATTGTCCGGACAAAGTCACTGCCACTGACATTGATGACATCATTTCTTGCTGGTCAGGTACCTGGGACTTCTGACACCATCGACGCCACACGGTCTTGGACACCAAAGACCGTGTCCGTCAGCTCACTAGGGCTCGAGGCCACAGGTGCAATGAACAAAGCCAAGTGCTGGAAACGTCCTAAAAAGTGCTGGAGGTGTCCAAGGCTGATGCTTCAGTTAGAGGGAATGGATCTAAATGGGTGTCGCGACGCTGAATCATAAAATGCACCCGTGACAGACTGCGGAGCACACGGGGTTTCTCCACGGCTCCGTGCGCTGACCGAGTAATGACAAAGCACGATGTGGCCTCCCACGGGTCCAGCGTCCGCTTGTTCTGTGACCACAACCAGACTCGATGTCTGGTTGCCCCAGAAACCTCATCTCTGGCCGCTGAGGAAGGACCGGCCCCCAGGGCGTGCCTACCGCCAGCGAGCACAGCTGGCCGTGCACAGGCCGGGGCATGGGGACACCAGTGCCACAGCGTGTCCAGACAGGCTGCTGGAGGCTGTCACTCGGGACGTGGCCGCTGATCAGAAATGGCCCTGAAGCTGGAACTACTTGCAGAAGTGCCCCCCACAGTGGCCATAGCGTAAATCTGAAAGGTGAGCACAAACCTCTACATCAAAGAATTATTGCCACATGGGTCCTTACTGCGTCGGCACCGTGTGCTGACGTGCAAACACGCCGACTCCTATGATTCTGCTGCCGGACGTTCTTTTTAGTTTTTAAATCTGCAGTTAGACTTGGGAAAAGGATTAGGCTGCTTCTCGTTAGAAGTGTCATTTTTTAAACTAAATTACTCAAAATAACCTAATTTGCTTAAATGAAACTGAAATATTCTGTAATGGACTAAAAGGGACTAAATCTGTGTCATTTATCCCCAGAGGGTATACCGTCTTACACAATTAATGCATTCTAGCTGTCAGTGATTTTCAAATTTAATTAAAATGGACTGAACCTTTTCAAAGAGAAACTCCCATGACTGCCAGTGGTGAGAAATTATTTTCATTAAGCCACGTAAATACGTATAAGCTTAAAATTAGAAATACCCTCTGTAGAGTTTAGAACAGTTCTCAAATCAAAATAAACATGCTGACTAAATACTAACACGATTATGAAACCAGTGAAATTTAAATTGCCAGCATGAATCTAACCTGACGAACGTGACTCCAGCAACGGGGCTGATGCGGAGGGCCACGTGCGACGCTGAGTGAGGGAGCCCGCCGGGCGGGCCGGCACTGCCACGGGCCGCGCGATGACGGAGGCCACCCTGCTCCGCACCGGTGCTGGGCACGGAGATGGTGGCAGGTCTCTCTGCAGAGCTGCTGGGTCCCCGATCCTGGCAGGTGGGAGTACACAGGTCCTCCCACGCCTTATTTTCCACGCAATGGCCACCAGGAGTCGTTCCCACCATCCCCAGGGTTCCTCTCGAAACGACCGACCACAGGGAGGCTCCCCAGCTGAAAAGCCCACGGCGAGTCCACCCGAAACCTGAGCAACGGCTCAGGATGGCAGTCGCGTAAGAGAAAACGCCAAAATGAAGGGACTTGGAGAAAAGAGGGACAGTGCATCAGCAAAAAGTCAAAGGAACACGAATTAATGTCCCCAGGGAGGTAACGCTTAAAGTAGGTAGTGACCAGTGCTGGCTGGGTGCTCTAGGTGCCAGGGGCTACTCTCGCCCAGCGCGACCCCTGTCCTAAGCTGCTGGGCCTCACAACAGCCCACGAAGCAGGCTGTGTGGCGGAGAGAGGCAGGTTTGGGCACGGTACCCAGGTGGCCCTTGGTGGCAGCTCTAGGCGGTGATCCGGGCAGGATGCCTCTGCTTCCAGTGGGGCCCCCAGAAGGCGAGCGGCTCCGAGGAAGGAAGCACGAGGAAGTGGCCCTTGAAATTCAGACGGTGTAACGACAGTTTAAAAACTCCAGGCCTCCTCCAAAGGGGAGGACAAAAAGACACGGAGATGGACAGCAGGAAAGGTCATCGGGGATCAGGCGAGGTGGCCCGCCGCCCAGGTGACAAGTTCCAGAAAGACGAGAGAAAAGGAGAGAAGTCACCGAAGCAGCGAGACCAGAGTCCCCGAGAGCAGCGGCCCGGGGGCGCCGTGAGCAGACCGCGCCGACGCGCAGCTCTCCGCAGTCCAGGACGCCGAGGGCGGAGGGCTTCCAGAACTCTCCAGAGAACACGAACGGGTCACACGCGAAAGTTATCACATCAGATGGCATCACTCCGGATGTAGGAAAATGGTGGACGGCATTCCAGCCGCCCTCAGAATTCTGAGAAAAAATAATCTCCAACCTCTAATTCTACACCCGCCAAGTTTGCAATCAAGCCGGGGGGAGGGGCGGAGACGTTTTCAAACGCGCAAAGAGCACAAACGCGAACAGAGCCCCTTCTCGGGAAAGCCCTGGAGATGCGACCTGGCAAGACGGGGTCGCGACATGCCAGTGACGGTGAAGAAAGTCCCAAGGCAGGAGCCGACCGCCCCGGAGAGAGCGGTCCCTGGAGGAGGCTGGCCCAGGGCGTCAGGACGGGGAGAAGGGGCTGAGGGCACCTGCCGTCCCAGGGAAGAGTCACAGCTGACAGAACTGCTCGAGTGCCTGTCTGGAAAAACAGCACTAAAGACACAGAGAACTCGGCATGTGATTTCAAATCGGGCAATCGTGAGCTCGGAAAACTGAAAATGTGTGTGGAAAAAAATCTGAATGCGACAAGCAGTATGTACACAGTCGACACCATCCTGCCGAACCGGGACCCTAAGAGAGACCCTCTGGACTCCTCTTCATTTTGCTGGGGGCGGGGGAGAGGTGACGTTACTGAACGGGCTGACTCATGGGTTACGGTAACCGGAAGGCAGTGGTCGTGGGGGCCAAGGGTGCGCCACGGCCGGGGGAGAGGCCCCGGACCTGAGGGGGAGCCACCGTGCTGCGAGGGAGCAGGCACGGACACAGGCGACAAGGCGGGGGGCGGGCGCGGAGGCAGAGAGGGACTTTAAGAGGGGTCGATGGAGGCCTGTGCGGGAGGCAGCAGGGTCAGGCGGACAGGAGCGGGTGTCAGCCGGGGCTCGGGCCGGGGCTGCTGGAAGATGGGGACAGGGGTGCCCCCATCCGGGGAGGTGGTCAGGGCTGCGCCCGGCACAGAAGAGGCTCAGGCAATGCAGGGGGCCGTGAGAAAGAGGTCTCCTCCGGAAGACAGGACCGCGCCGGTGAACGCAGGACTGCCGCACATACGCAGGCTTGCCCGAGGCACTGGGGACACAACGAAGAGGCGCGTCCCTGCCCGCTGGGGACTGACCCTAGTGCGTGCGGCAACTGTAAATGAGGCCACTGAGCACAGCCCCGGGGGCTGCGTGGCCTGGGTGTGGGCTCGGAGCGGCCCGTGGTGGCTGACCCCGCTGCGGGGTCTGCCAGGAGCGACACGACTGGGTGGAGAGGGGCAGGTGGGGGGTGCGGGGAGCCGCACCGTGTTAGAGCCTGGAATCCAGCCAAGGGAGGGGACGGCCGGGGCAGGGGAGGGACAGGGAAAGACATATGGAAGGGAGGCGAAGCGGGGAGCCCGACCCCTCAGAGGGGTGCAGCGGGCAGCGGTGCGGACGCGCAGGGTCACACAGATGGGTCAGCCTGAAGGAGACCCCGGAACACGCCGCTGGGTCGGAACCTAGAACCCTGCTGCGTCACTGACCGGGACGCCGAGGCCACAGACGTGAAGGAAGACACACGTTCCAGTGCAGAGTCTGGGGCTGAGCTCGCAGGTGGTTGTCACGTTACTCCAGTACCTACCCGAACTTCCCAGCTTTTCAAAACAAAACACACAAATGTGACCGTTTCATCTACCGTCAATCTTTGCGGCCACCACCCTATGTCCAAAGTGACCATCGTCTCTGGATAAGTGGTCTTGACGGCCTCCCAGGTGCCACTGCCCCGTTCCCTCTCCTGCTCCTTGGAGTCCAGTCTCTACAAAGCGGGTGGAGGGATCTTTCCAAGGCACAAAGAGCATGAGCACCGCTCAAACCCTGCCAGCACCCAGCCGCCACCAGCAGCGTGTCCACTCACTAAAGAAGTCAAATACGGTGCGGAGAATGCACCGCCCCAAATTACCGGGTCACAGTCCAAATGGCAAATGCACACAACTGGCAGATGGAACAGTTCCCAGTTTCGTTTGACCCCCTCCTTCGGCTAGCTCGCGATGCGGAGGGTTACTTCAGTGCAGATCATCCCACTGGACAGCCGCCAGCAGGATGAGGGGACACCACTCGACAGTTTCCAGTTTGTTTGACCCCCTCCTTCGGCTAGCTCACGATGCGAAGGGTTACTTCAGTGCAGATTGGCCTGTGACCCAATCTGCTCCTGCTGGACAGCCGCCAGCAGGATGAGGGGACACCACTCACAACGCCGCTGCCCGTTTCCTAGCATCGTCCACCTCCCCGCTGTGAGCCGTGTAGGCAACAGTCCCAGAGAGTGTTCACGCTTCACTCCCGTCGTCTGCTTCCCCTTAGGGGACACCAAAACTGATCCGAGGCCCACACATACGTGGAACAGCCTCCAACCTCTCTGGCCTCCAGGGAAAAGCAGGTAAGAGCACCCCACGGCTGAAATGAAAAAACCCCCTCCAAGGGCCACCGAAATGGGAGCACAGGGACGCTCACGCAGCGCTCCTGGGAGTGAAGACTGTCCGGCGACATCCACTAAAGCTAGACACCCACGCTCCCTAGGGCCCTGGACTCCCCGCCTCCAGATGCACGGCCCCCAGAAGCGCACATGTGTATCACTACAGCTCTCACAAGGACATTCACAGCAGCCTGTCCACAGAAGAGACAACGCAAATGTCCCCAACAGCAGACGGATGCATCGGTTGTGGACCGCTCACACAGGGGAGCAGCACATAGCAATGGAAATGAGCAAATGACAACACAGAACCCCTGGATGGGCCTCGGGAGGAAACGCTGAGCAGCACCTGCAGCTGTACGCCATGCAAACCAAGTTCGAAAGCAGGGCGTCTGTCCGCGATGTCAGTAGCAGGGGCGTCGCTGGCCTTGCAGGCGGGAAGGCCGGAGGTGCAGTAAGGCACTCTCCCTCGACCAGGTCACTGACACGAGTCCCTGTGAGCACGGCTGTGTGGCCCACCTGGGACCATGTACCCTCCCCACGTGTGTCATACTTCCGCAGATAACACACTGCTTCTCCCCATCATCCTGTTCCTTCCCACCCGTCTCCCTCCCCACTCAGCCCTGTGCTCCCCCAATCTGCCTCGGGCACCCAGCCTCCACAGCCCCTCCGCTATGGCCTTCGCTGCTTCTTGGAATGCCTGCTCCCTCCACATTCTTGCTCTGGAACTGCCAATCCCCGAGGCCCCCCAAAGCCCTTTTGATTTCCACTGGATGCTCCCAGTAGGTTAGAAACATAATTTCCTACTTCAAAAAATTCACAACTAATTCTGCCATAAAATGGAATGAAATTCTAATACATTCAAGATCACGAGAAGACAAGCCACATACCAGGAGAAAATGTTTTTAAAAGACACAACTGATAAAGAACCGTTACCTGAAATATACAAAGATCTCTTTAAAAATCAACAATAAGAAAACAGTCCAATTATAAAATGGGCAAAAGACAACAGAAATTTTACTACAGATGGCAAATAAGCATCTGAAAAGATGCTCTACATCTTTCGTCATCAGGGAAATGCAAATTAAAACAAGAAACCACTGCACACCTACTGGAATGGCCAAAATCCAAAACACTGACAGCATCAAACCCTGGCAAGGCTACAGAGCCGCAGGAGCTGTCACTCACTGCCAGTGGGAACGCAAGGCGGTGTAGCCAGCCACTCTGGAAGACAGTTTGGCAATTTCTTATGAGATGAGACACTCTCTCACCATGCGAGTCGGCGATTACGTTCTCCGTGTTCATCCCGGGAAGTTGAAAACGCGTGCGCACAGCTGTTTACAGCCGCTTTAGTCATTGATTTTCTAGCCCTGGAAGCAGCCAAGGCGTCCTTCAGCGGGCGAGGGGGTGAACAACCGGCGGTCCTCCAGACAAGGGACTGTGGCTCAGCGGCGAGGGGAAGTGAGCCACCGGGTCGCGGAAAGACACGAAAGGACCTTAAATGCCACGACAAGTGACGAAAGCCAGTGGAAAGGGCTACGTCCCGAACGATTCCAGCTCCACGGCATTCCGGTTCCAGCTCCACGGCATTCTGGAAAAGGCGCAGCTGCGGAGACA